CAACCCTGTCTGATCTGTCTTCATCACATTTATTTCCTCTTGTGAACCATCATATTATGCCATCTTTCCGAAATTCTTATACCTCCAACTTCATTCCATACTAGACTACTAGACTAATCATACTGTACATCTTACATCTGTGATGCATACACTGAGCCAACAACAAATAACTATCACTGACTGTGCTAAAACCCGAGAAGATGATGCTGTCTCTGTCAGTGTTTAGCCCTACTCTCCTCTTTAGTGGAAAACCTAACAAATGATGAACAGAAGTTTGTATAAACATGGCAACAACAGTACGTAACTAATGGCTCACACTGAATGTCAGACTTTATTTGGCAAAGTGAGATCCCTGCGTATTATGTAACTGCCCTGGTAAGTGCTGTGATGAAGCTGCAGGATCAGTTTCAATGAAGTCATTAATAGATGCTTTCTTTACCTCTTCAGCTGAGTGCACTGCACTGCACTAGAGTTTAATGGAGAAGACATATTTGGCCCTAACGTCAGTGGGGAGAAGTGTATGCTACTCATAAGCTAAATCAATTGGAGACAGCGATCTGGATGATGCTCAGAAAAGAAAGTCTGGAACACTTCAAGAGTGGTGAGATGAAAAGCTTTGCAATAACAGCTGCCACTGAAACAGAATGCACTTATGGACACACATAATGTATCTGTATCATTTCTGTCGACAGCACTGTTAAATATCAGAACAGCCCGTCTGAAATGACATGGTACCATTGAATTGGACTACTACTATCAAGGGGACAAGGCATGGGACCAGACATGACCTTTACTTTTATTACTCTCATTAGACGGCATTTTACAAATGATTTTAAAAGTTGTCTCTCAGACCTTTTCGTATGTCATTTTTGTGAATGAAGCACACCCAACATTTCCCTTTGATAGCCAACTAGGGTACCATGACTCAGCATGTCGAGTTGTGTGGAAATATATCTGCCATCAATCTCCAACTCTGCTGGTGGCGTATCTGCAAACTGGCCACTTTTCATGAAAGGGAAACATAAGATGAACCGTTGAGCAAGCATGGGCCGGTTGCAACCTCTATGTACACAAAGACACTGGTAGATGGACTGTGCAGCTGAGACAGATAGCTTACCTGAAGAAAAGCATGTGACCAGGCAAAATGATCAAAGGATGCTGGCATCAGAGCACATATAAGAAATCTTATCAAGGAGTCTATAATTTGCACAGCCAGGATAATAACATGGGGTGACTGTGATGGTGACATGATAACAAACCAAGCAGAGTGTGCAGTAAGCTTGTTGTGGTGATGATCACATAGGCATACACTGTTTGGTATTGGTTGTAGTCATATGGCTCATACAGTCCTACAAGCTACAGGACACAGTAAGGAAAGCATTGGACCAGCAAATTGATGAGTGCATCACATGATACGGGCCGTGAGCACGTCGCAGCACCACCATCATGAAACTTGTAATTTGCAGGACAATGTAGCCCGCCTCCTTGTGAATTTTCGAGAAAGATGCTTGACAGAAACAGATAATCTCCCAGATGCGTGTTTTTTACTGCATGGGTCTTTACTCACAGAATCACTTGCGTTTTTACGCAGCTGCTCATCCTCTCCCACCAGAGCGCCCGTGTCCACCACCAATTTCTCGAAGCACGTCGAGCCAAGAGAGGAGCTCTTCTGCTGGTACATGATCAGCTGGGACACGGGGAGTTTTGGGCTTCCGTGTGCCGTCAACTCGGGTTTGCTCCCCGTGGCTCCAGAAGCTCCGCCCAGGGGATGTAGGGGCTGTCCGTCGCTGCTGGTGCCGGGGACCGCGTCGCTCCCATGGGTCTTATTATCTCCTTCAAAAGGCGCCGGCGGAGAGCGGAGATTCGGCTGAGACGACGAAAACACCCGGTCCAATTGTTTCTTTTTCCTCTTAAACATCCATAACCCCGACTCCTTTTTGCTGCCCTCCGCGCCCCCGGCACTACGACGCTCCGATCCCAGTTTGGGACTTAGCCAAGGCTTAGTTTTCCCCTGGAAATTCTTCCACATCCTCCGTTGGTAGGACAGAGTCTCTTGTCCTTTGGCGGTGCCCTCATCCTTAGGGGATTTCTGCTCCATGGTGCCTGTGCAGCAGCCAGCCAGCCTGAGCACACACTGAATCGTGGAAGGATGTCACAGTTAGGCTGCTTCAGCTCGGGAGCACTTTCACTGATGATCAGTTTATAGCGCCAAGAAGGAGACGCACGGTGAGATGAGGAAGGGGGTGTTAGTCTCCAACGAACCTTGTAGAATGCCTATGCAGGCGGTACTGTGGATCTTTATGTCACACACTGTGCAGCACGCGTGTCAGACGGCAAGCATTAGCCTCATCTATTGAAGGTCTGCGTGAGCTCAGGGGTGAAGTTAGAACACGTGGCGACTTCTGCAGGACTACCTAGACATGCTTGGTAAATGCTCCGCTTGGTTGTTGGCGGTCCTTGTGCCTTCTGCTCTGTCCAATGTGCTTTGCAAAAAAGGTTTAGTCAACTTCCCCATTAATTGTTTTATTCAAATGAAGGACGAAGGCTGCACCGCGCCTCCCTCTGGCCAACCACGTCACTTGCCTGGATAATCTGTATGCTGGGGATTGCATAACGCACCCCCAAATATGCCTCGTGGAGATGTTTATAATTCAGCTGTGGATCCTCTGTCACCTCCCATCTGATTGTGCCTGGTGATTTTTCAGCCTCTATATTCACTCTTTCAAAGCAGTGACGTTGGTAAATCTAGAGTTGGCAGTGAGTCCTCAACCTCTGTTCCCTCTTTTGTGTAGTGTGGATGTTCTTGCACAGCAGCTATATGTCTGGATATATTCTCGCAAATAGGTCAGGCTTCAGTAAATGTTATCACCCACACTGCAGCAGCGAGGAGGCAGCGCTTGAACAACCTTCTCTCTTTTTGGATGCTGTGCTGCTACTGCTGTGCAAATAATAACTCACTACGTCTTCCCCTCTGGCCCTTGCTTCATTGCTGGCCTGTTCCGTCCCCCTGGTTAACACTGTGCCCACTATCCTGTAAACAAACACAGACAATAATTACAGGAGAGAATTACTCTTTCATCTAACTTCCTGTGGCACACATGTACACCAAAAGAAGAGGTCACAGAATGACCTTTCATCTGCAAACAGGGCTGATGAAAGTGTACTTCTTAGGGGAATGTTAGAACTGGATGAACTTCATCCCACTACACAGAGGAACTGAGAGTCCAAGGACTGTGTACGCTGCTTGCATGGACATTCATTCATGTGGGACACTTGTGGTGATATAACCTTGGTATCATGATTTTGAAGGTGTGATTGGCCCTGACAAAGCCTTCTGTTTTGAGCTCTTGGCCTCGACCCTCTAATAATGAGAAAATGATAATCAGCCTTTACTGTCGTCTGGTGATTTATGGCAACACTGACCTCAATAGAAGAATACTTAATTCAGCTTCTTTTTTTTCTGAGACATGGACACATATGAGTAATTAGGACATCCAACATGAGATGACAATCCAATGCAATGACAAGTTTTGTTGTAGGGATCATATTTGGTTGATATCGCATGCATTCACATAAAACACTTTAATTACAACGGGGGCACTGGCAGCAACACAGTGTCCCGAACCCCTCTCTCAGTTAACTAGATGGTAATGTGAGCCTGTGAGCCAAACAATTCCTTTCAGCTACCATCAGCTTTTCTGGATAACTGATGAGTCTGCAGTCAGTAAGCCTTTCCTGGTCCTGATTCTGTTGATAGGAAAGCTAATGAACAGTGTATGTGAATGTGCACACACACACACACACCTACACACAGACACAGACAATTAAAAACTCAGAATCCCATCCACTGACTGAAACTACATGTAATTCAGTGGCACTACTAGAACATCACGCATGATAATGTAGGTCAAGTTCTGGTTAAATGAAACATAATAAGGCAATTTTCACTGAGTCATGCCGCTCGTAACACATTTAGTCAGAGAAAAGCTCCGTCTTCATGGATAGCTAGTTATATTGTGTGAAATGAAACGGCAGAGGGAAAGGATACAGAGTTCATTTGACCAGTATTCCCTTCCCGCCTGTGCCCAGTTCAAATAATCACGTATTCTAATTTCCAGCCTCAGCCTGCTTCGGCCACATTTGCCTGGTACGACCTCTTAGTGCTGGCCAATGGACGGGCCAACTTTGATCTGAATGTGGATTAACGTTAGACTTCAAATCAAATGCTAATATGTTATAATTTACGTTTTGTTATCTGTAATAAACCACATTCACACCACATAATGAATACTTTTTACCGTTCATGATTAAGCTAACTCTAGTGAAAGGGGGTGCCATGTAAAAAAAAAAAAGACACCAAATGGTTAAAGAAAAAAAAGCTTAAAATAAATATATATAGATAAATCAAAGATATAGAATATCTAGAGGAACTAACTCAAAGGCATCAGGACTGGCTAGTTACCTTTGACAAACAAATGTTTTGAGAGCCATTGAGTTTTGACTTGCTATTTTGTCTCTTAGAGTTTAAGTAATGTTCACACTCAATGTTCTAGTTTGCTGAGTTAAGCTGCTTCACCAACTATACTAGGCATTATTCTCGCATTACTGTGTTGACAAATTCACACTGTCAGGCAGGCACACCCCACTCAAGGAGACCACAGTAACTAAGTGACAACACAAACACATGAACTCAAGAGCCGGCTCAGTGTGAGTATTCTAAACTTTAAAACATGAAAATAAGTGCTAAATATATTGTTGTTAAAGAAGGGAACATATCATATTGCCTTGTATGTTTCTCATTGTGGCCAGATAAGACTATGAAATGGTATAAAAATATGTTGATTTCAACAATTAACATTAAAACAAAAAATGTAAAATAACATTATACATTTAACACAGCAGTAAGGCTGACAAAGCAGATTACAAATGCATTTGAGTAAAAACTGCTGTATACCTCACCACAATATGTAATATTTTTTTTTTCTTTTTAGACAAGAAGAATGTCACACAGGTTAAAGTTACAGCGCTATCAGAACCCCACCAGGTAACTGGTGGGGTTCTGTTGAATTACTCTATTGTGTATGTATTTGTGGAAGTATTTTGTGTATGTATTTGTTTTGTTTTTTCTATTTTATTTCTATTTCATCTTTGTTATTATTTGAATGTATTTATTCTAATGCTGTTGGTCTGATGACATAAAGCCTCTGGGTTATAGAGATTAATATCAAACAAACAAAACTCCATTTGATATATTTTTAAATCTATTTTAACCATTAAAACTATTACATTACCTTCATATTTGTCACCTTGCTTAGTTCCTGTGGGTCACTAATTCAATTCTAAAATCAATCTGTGTCCAAGAGGTGGATAGAGGTAGATTCCCCCGATGATGGGATTAAAATACAGTTGGGATCCACGAGCGACCTTTGTAACACTGCTGTGAATCACATTGATCAAATGAATCCTTAATCCACAGTAGCATCAATCAGGGTCACACAGAACGCTCAGGGACATGAAGTCAATGAGAGATATGGGATGCGGATGACCTGAGGGTATGAAAACCAATGCACATCATCTAATTCCCTCTCGTTTATTCTTCTGGGTACATGAATGCTTCAAATTATTTTCTATTCCTGAATATATTCCCTCCAGTGATAGAAAAGGCCAACTTTTCATGATTTGCAACACATATCCCTCATTTACCAAAATCAATAAGAAAGTGCTTGTAAGCTTGTTTATCTGTTTCTTTTTGCTTCCTGTTGAAGGCCTGATGACTTGGAGGGTGGTCTGAGCAGTCAGGAGAGGACACTGGCTGTGCTGCTGGAGCAGGCCTTGAGGATCAAACAGGAGGTGGCAGCAGGTCTGCAGTCCGCCCAGGGCTCCGTCCAGGTCGAGGCACTGTCCCGCAAGCTGCTGGAGAATCACATGCTGACCATGACAGGCATTGTCAAGCAGCTTAGCATGGACATACAGGTATACAAGTGGGTGGATGGTAGAGGTTAGTGTTGTTCTATGGAAATGTATAATGCATTTAATTGTATTGTTGCCATGAGTTCTGTCGCCTCTTTTGTCTGAAATATCTCATTATGTGGATCAAGTCATTGTCTATCTGTGCGGACTCCCTTTTCTCTCTACCTGTCCTCTGTTCTAACTCCTTCTTTCATCTGCTTTCCTCTCCTCTCATCTCTTTTGATGTGCAGCACACGCACGCACACACTCATGCCCGCAAACTCACAGCTGATTTGATTACACCTGATAGAATGGTGCAGCGCCTGAGCAAAGCCTGCCTGACTCCTCGTCAACATCAGCTCGTGGACATTTCGTCTGTATAAGCAGAAAACTAATGATGTACACAGAATGTGGTTAAATAAACACTGCCAAGTTACACACTAACAGATGAGTGCTTGGAGTCATCTTTGACTGAGCAGAAGATCAAGCCACAGTATGATAACCGCCTTATAGAAACATGAAATCAAATATATTACTTCATTAGTGTATACCAAATGGGCCATTAACTTGATTAGAGACTGTCATTATCTTAAATATTACATAAATGCCTAAAAGCTCATTAATTCTGCACATGAAGAAGTAATAAGCTAAGGCGTGACATGAATATGCTGAATCAAATGATGCCGACGGTGATGACATTTCTGGGAGTTTTGAATTATCTATTAAGGACATAATGATAATAATAATGATGTTTTACAAGTGTCGGTTTAAAATGAGGTACAGAAGAGGAATTGACACATTATTTTTTATTGTCAGGTTCCAAACAAACTATATTATAGATATAAAAAATGCTTTGTTTGTATATTTTGTTTCATCTGTATTTTACTGCTGATTGACATAAACGTGAAATAGACAAACAGGCTGTCTTTGTTCTGAGCAGGCCCTGGAGAGACAGATCGCCCAGCGGGACTCCGTCACCTCTGGAACCACAATGGCTGTTCAAAGCCTGGACCTGAAGAACGTGGCTGGCATTGGAGACCTGAGAGGCAGAGTAACCAGGTATGCACAACAGGCCGAGGTCAGATACCGTCTGTGTTAGCAAATAATGCAATTTAATGACTGCCAAGTGCTAGCACATTCAAACTTTATTGACCAATTATTTAGACCCAGGTCTGGTGCTCAAGTGATTTCAAGGATTACCTTTTCTTTGCTTTTATCCTACTTAATGTCTCTTCCTCTAATGAAGTGAAATCAAATAGCCTGCATCCTGTCTGGCAGCTCTTCACAGTCTCACAACTTCCAATCTGTCGTGGCATCGCCTCTGACCCCCCCCCCCCACACACACACACTTATGCACACATTCATTATTTCCTTCTCACCAGAGTGAAGGAAAGTACAGTATAGGCTTGAACTCACTCTGCTAATTAGCACCTGTTCATTATTTGGTGTCTGTGCAGATCAAGTTTATTAGATTGGATTGCTGTAGAGAGGTCGTCTTCATTAGATTGCGTGAGGATTGGTGTTTTTGCTAGGGTGAACTATTTTTAAACATCCTGGCAATAATGCATTTTCTCATCAGACAGTAGATGAATGTTATTTTGTGAACATCTTACTTCTCAGCTGGCCTGCCTCCTCCATGTTAAGAGATCCGTGGTGAGCGGGAATATTGCCTATGACTCAACAAACAGCTGATTTATGATCCAATAAAAGCTGAAGAAAAACCTACTCAGCCTAATGACCTCTTGTGTGCTCATCATAAATAATCAAGCAAGTTGAGGGCCAGTGGTTTTTGATCAATTATATTGTTCTGTGAAATCCTTTATGGAAGCGCTGTAGTGGTCAACAGGGAAATAACCCTCATTCCACACTGGACATCTCCATAATAAGTTGTCAGCTTTGATTGTTGAGCTTGCGCTTTACAAATATGATATTGACATAAACACAGTAACTCTGATAGAGAAGGGGAGGGAGAGTTGTTGCTGGCTTGGTGATGGCACCTTACATTTAGCACAGAAAGGAAGAGAGCTAGATTGCAACACTGATAATAAGTGTCAGCAGTGTCCAGTCTTTTGCTCATCTCCCTGATTTCACACCTTTCCACATCTCCCTCCCATACCTCTATCCTCATTCAGTGGCCCCTCTCTGCTTCCCCAGCTATTATATCAGGTGTGATGCCGGCATCGCCAAGCTGAGCGCTGACATGAGCTCTGCGGAGCGGCGGTTGATTAGACTGCAGCAGGAGGTGGCAGAGCTCAGGTCAGCCGCGGACGTACGGCTCAAAGAGCTGCAAGTCAAGGTGAGCGACGGTGCGCAAATGCTGACAGAGTTTAGCACTTGTTCATGTAAGGCAGCACTTTAAACCACACTATATACAAAGTATCTAAACACCAGTGGCAAAAATAATCTTCATAAGTCATTTCTTCAATACATACTTTCTTCTTCATCTGTGCAGCATTCAAGACATCAAAAATTGTCAGAATTGCGCAGGAGGAAACATTCAAATATCCTTAAAGCTTAAATGGTACATTGCATATTTGTAACCATAAAAGCAGCATAATATCCATATGAATTGTTGTGAAATGTATTTTCAGACATTTATGGTCCTCAGAAAATGAACCTAATGACATTCCCTTAACTTTTCATCATTCATTCATTACTTTGGATTATGTCCAAATATCTGCAAAACCTGAGCTGTACTTGGGTTTACTGCTAATTAGAAAACGTTAGCATGCTAATACGCTAAAGTAAGACAAGGAACATGTTAAAACATTATACCTGTTAAACATCAGCATGTTAGCATTATCATTTTATGTATTCTGGCATTAGTATTGAGCTCAAAGCACGGCTTTACCTAAGTACAGACTCAAAGACACACCTGCATTGCTTAAATCTTCTTCTCATATTTCTTAAATTATGCCGTATTGCACTAAATCTTCAACCGTAACCTAATCCTTACCCCTCCGCTGCCTTTACACACACACACACACACACACACACACACACACACAAACACACACACACACACACGCGCTCACACACACACACACACACACACACACACAGATAGTGTTGAGCCTGGGGTTCATTTGAATACTCCAGTCTCAAATTAAGGAATTATGTTCTCATTTGTGAATTTATTTAGATATAAAATAGGTATTACATTCATTTAAATGCTGCTTGCATGAAGGAAATAATAATCTGACAATATAGGGTGTATTTGCTGTTTACCCTAAAGAGGATGGCTGGCTGTTTTGCAGGTGAGTTGGAGCTTACTGCAGCTTAGTGAGACTGGCCTTATCAAGTAAATTCAGGGGCTCAACCACAGGCTCTGACATGAAAAAATGTGATGTGAAGTTAATTCAAATGGGGATGTCAAGGTCTCTCCATAAACAGCTTTTACTGCCCTTTGGTGTCAAATTTTCTATGCAAGATAAATAGAATAAAAACTACAAAAACACTGGCTCAGGACACATACAGTATGTCAAATTTTATAATACTCTCCATCACTTTACTAAATCGAAAGCCGAACACAACTGCCCGCAACCACACACTCACCTCAGCCTGCACTCAGTTCTGTTGTTGACACATGGGGGTAAATCATTGTGATGGCAGCACATTAGCTGTGGAGCAGTGGTCAAGCCATGTGCCATAAAGATAATTGAAAAAGCAGAGAAAGTGGGTCACTGCTCAATCCGCTCGACTCAGCAGAAGCTAAAGGTCAGATCATGGAGCCGGCGCCACAAGATGCTCGAACGTTTACGTAACAGCATGTGTTTGTGTATGTGTGTTTTCTTTTATCCAGGTTTATCACGACCTGTGGAGGCTGGAGGCCTCATTGGCAGAGAATTCCCAGGAACAAAAGATCTCTACGGCTGATCTGCAGACACAAGTTAAACTACTAGAAGCCAGGTAATGCCATCAGTTCAAGAGGAAGCACGACCCAGAAACACCTGGGTTACTTGTTAAAATGCTCTGTCATTTCCTCTCAAGGGCTGACCTCGTTGACAAAAATGGCTCACAAATGATACTGCACAGCAACACATCCTATCTCGTAGTGCTCGTGATTTGTGCAGGCATTCAGGATTCACCTGATTATCAAAACCTATGTTTTTGGGCTGCTGCTAAAAATGCAAACGCTGCAAAGTTTTATTATAATTTAACATTAAGATATTTTTTTTCCACAATAATTGGCTTAGTGTTCATGTAAAAACGCTTTATGCTAGACACGTATGTTGACATAACTTTTAATTTAACATGCCTTTATAAACATGAGTTTGCTATGTTTCATTTATTTCTATGTCTTCTCATTTCTTGAAGACTATACTGTTTTTCAGTTTGCTGCTTGTGATTGGGAAATATGGAAATTTTCTTGGCTAATTTGCCTTTTAGCAGCGCTCCGCAAGCGATGATTTATGTTCCCCTTTTCATTCTACCCAGGCTCTAATATAATAATCTATGAGCTACTAATTCATTTATCAAATAATATCTCCAGTCAGTCCTGACTCTCTACAGCTGGGCATTTCAGAGTCATGAGCTGCAGCTCAACTTTTGATGCCAGAGGCAGAGAAAAGCTGTTAGTTAAGTTGATTTACTAATCCATCTGACAAATTAACTCACTTGGCACCAATATGCAAAATGAGTCACATAGTTTTAAATGGTGGAAACAGAAACATGATTGATGAATAACCTCTATTTATTACTATCGTAGATCTGCGATGGAAACAGGGTCCCTGATCATGTAAAGATAGATGAAAAGCAACATCGCCTGTGTTTCTGAGCCAAGTAGAATAATACCCAAAAAAGCATATACCAATATTATATCCAGCTATCCAGCAGGCTCCTTGTTCATTTACTCTCTAAACCAGCCTTGTTTTTTTGTGTCGCCAAGTCATTTGGAAGCAAACACAGCTGATTTCTGACCCCACTGAGTCCACAGAGAGACCTCAGTAGATTTTGCATCCCTCCTGGCTTTTTGTCAAACATCAAAGTTAAACCTTTTCAGCTCTCTGACCACAACTAAAACTACCTATTTAATTTGAGGCAACTTAAGCACAGTATTTAGTGCCTCAAAACAACAACAACAACAACAACAACAACAACAACAACAACAACAACAACTCTTGAAACCCTCCTCTATGATGGCCAAACGCACGACATTCAATTGAGGGGCCAGTCGCCCACAGTCAATACTCACAGTTAGTGCCACTGACAAACAAATCACACATGCTTGAAGTTTCAGATAAGCTCAAGAACACAACGGCCGCAATAAAGTCGAGGCACACCGACCATTTCTCAACAGGGAAATGATTAACCTCCATGGAGACGAGCAGATTCTGAAAGCTCATCTAACACGGCCAAATCAGCTGTCTAGACGATGCCTGGCCCAATAACTGTCAACATTAGCCCGATTAGCCTGCCAGCGCAGAGTTTTAAATGAGGTGTCTCTGTTGCCGCATATCTGAATAGATAAATGAATGTTCAGCAGAAGGTGTCCGATTTGTATTGCAGACAAACACAGACACACACGTAAAGACCTGGCATTTGCCTCATTGATTTTCTCATTTAGGACAAATCCTTTGAATTGGGGGGAAAGAAAGTCAATTGAATTGAGCTTGACGAAAGAAAATGTTGATGGGACACTGCGAATAGTAATTACGTTACGATACAGCCCACGTGATATTTCACTCAGCGTGTCGAAGGTTGCAGCTTTCATCTGAGACGTTTTAACATTGTCGTCCCAATGGACTTATGTGAGTAATGTGAGCTACATATATAGTACAGTTATATAAATAAAACAAGTACATACAGAGTACATACAGTTATATAAATGGCAACCCAGTCCAATATTACAGGGAGAGAGATTTGCTGTGCTCCCCCAAACAAACACAGTGTTCAGAGCTACAAAAAGGCCACAGGTCAACATCAAGTGTTTCTTAAGTCTTCACGCAGCATCTTTCCACCACAAGAATTTGAGTTTGTGTGTTTCAAGGCACAAAAAGCAGCAGCACTCAACCACAAAGTAATTGTGTTCTGCTGCAGCTGGCATCAACCACCATCTACAAGTGGGTGCCAAAATATCGGTTATGGAAACAGATAAATTCTTATTCCAGAGCGCCAAGTAAGAGCTGTATACAATGGGTCTAAATTTACAACAAGCATTGCAAAAGCTTGCAGCTATTTGCCAGTCTGTATACATTTACAACACATGTATAAACTAATCTAATCTACTAATGGCATTTTCGGTGTCTAGTTTTAAAAGAAAAACGCAATTTGCAACAGTATTTCCTGTGTGACACTGCATATTCAAAGTAAAGCCTATACTGCATTTCCCTTCGTTCTACTCCTGATGGCTTTGCAGGATATCAGGTGAACTGAAGGAAGCCAAGGAGCAGACAGATTCGCTGAGGAGGCGGACAGAACAACAGCTCAACAGCTTAGCCCAGACTCATACGGAAAGCAGCCAGCAGCAGCGCATGCAACTGCAGGACACAATGGTACCGTAGCATCAGTTAGTTATCATCAGTTTAACCAACAGTTTATGCAATCATGTTCACAATAACACCATTCAGGTAATAGGCAGGCCATATTCAGATATGCTATGTCTGCATTCTGGATTTTTGCCTCCTTTGCCTTTTCATTCCTCTACGTCAATTTAAAAAAAATAAACACCTGCGATATAATGACACACTTACACTTACAGTAATCAAAAGTTATATGGTTATGAATTTGTAAAGCTCAAATGTCGCAACTTCTATTGACTGCAAATCATCTTTTAGTGAAGCAGTGCAGATATTTGCAAAGCTCTGCTTAGGTTAAAAGCATGCACAAAAACACTGATGCAGATCATATTGACCCACATCGTTTTCATCTAAGTGCCCACTTTATCTGTCCGCATTTAGGTCACATTTTTAACCAAACCTTTTTACCAGGCATGACTTCGTAGTAAAGCTCCTTAGTAGTACTTTTACACAGAAGTGGGGATGTCTCCGATTTCAACAGCTACAGTCAAATATCTAAGCTTCCTTCCTCAGCAAAAAGCATTGACCTCTCAAAAGCATTTCATACCGTTCATCATAAAATCTTAGTCCACAAACTACAGTCTATAGGTTTGGGTGAAGCCACGCTTCATTGGTTCATCGCTAACTCAGACTGTTGTTGCTGATATTACGCAATCAAACCAGCTACCCATCATAAATGGGTTGCCACGTGTTTCTCTCCTTCATCCATTGCTGTTTTACATGATACACAAATAACATTTTCCTGATCAATACTTGAATGTCCATTTGATACGCCCCAGGCTCCCTGACTCATCTTCAGACGGATGCTTTACGATTATCACTCCTTCATCACAGGCTAGTTTTAAATGCAGAAAAGACCAAGTGCATGGTATTCTCCACCTCCACCAGTGACACCAACTGTGCTGACATTAAAACTTGAAATGTCACTCACATTGCTCTTGCTGAGTTTTACAAATATTTAGGAATTTGTCTTGACAGCAGACTGTTATTCTAGATTCATATTCAACATTTGACTCAAAAATAAAAAAATTAAAACTAGGCTTCTTGTCTGCCTTCTTCAAAGCATAACACTATTTTACACTCAACCTTCAAACCTTTCCTTGGCTATGGAGATATTCTACTGTCATGCTGCGCCATCAACCCTTCAGCTGTTAAACCCTGAGTGCATTATGCTTTATCACTAAGGACAAATGTTAGATTCATTGTTCTCTGTATCACTTCCTTACAGCTGTACTGTTGAAATTACCTCACATCTCTTCTCATTTAAATCTAGTATCCAGAGTACACGATCCAGTAAATACTTAACCTCAGATATCCTTCAGGTACGCACTAATGTGGTTTCAAGTACTTTAACTTAAAACTGTAAACGTAAATGTAATTAGCTGTCCGGCTAAGTGAGAGAGCTCAAAGCTTTATTATCTGATGTTTTTAATGATTCTTGTAACTGTTTTAATTCCTGTTTATTGTGTAGTTGTGTTCTCTGTTTTGCTGATTGTGTTCTTGTGAATGTTTCTTGTTCTCAGGTCTCTCTTGGAAAATAGATTTTAATCTCAATGACACCGCCTGATTAAATAAAGATAGAATTAAATATCACAAGCAGCACCTTAACATCAGGATTAAATATAATGTTCAGGACTGGTCACACACACAGCGTGAGGGATACAAACTGTCACGCAGTGCTGTACGTTTGTGTTCTGTATTCAGTTAGAGGCAGAGTCTAGATCAGCTGTCCGGCTAAGTGCTCCAGAGGCCCGTGTGGAGCAGTTTGAGGCCCAGCGGGGTCAGACCAACCGGCGTCAGGCAGATCAGCTGAAACTCGGTAGAAGAGAGACCTCAGTGGAGAGCAGCCTTCGCCAGGAGCTGCAGCTGCTCAAACAGGAATACCACAAAGGTGGGTGATCACTGTCTATAACTTGCTGTCATCAGTGAGTAAACACACACATAGTGCACATATGCACATCAAGGAAAAATGCACATGCAGAAAAGCTTCACAAAAGAGAGACCGTTCATAATTAGTCATAAATTAAAGTGACTCGACTACTCCACTAATATATAACTGTTTATACTCAACATAACTGTCTGAACTATATAGACTTCAATTATCAAGCATGTAGCATTACATCATGTCCAAAAAATACTTTTAGTCAAGCCTTTCTCTTTTTGAAAACTAAGACAATGACTAACATTAGCTCCTACAAGCCATAGGAATACATCCAGGCAGCCCGGTACAGCAGCTCCGCTCTGCATCAAGCTGCTGTTGACATCCATCCCCATCTCACTGCCAACTGGAAGCTCATCTCCTGGGAGCTCTGGCAAAAGATCTCAAACCTTCCCCACGTTCTGTAAACGTCTTTCAGCCTCCCGCGCTTATTGAAGTGTAGACAAATAGAGGATGGGGCAGTGGCGTCCTCCAGTAAATAAAAGCAGGATGAATCATCGCTCATCCCAGTGTGAGAGAGCCATCCGTCACTCTATTTTAAGTGTAGGATGAAAATATGGAAGGATATGGTATTAGAGGGGAGAAGAGCAATACATATTTGATGAGTGTCATAAATATTCGTGGCAAGACAGGCGAGGAGTCAGAAAAAGAAAGGGGAGAGATTTAATATCCCATCATTGAACAATAAAGTTTATCCCTCCACCTCACGGCTGACACTGGCAATTACTTCTTAGAGTACATGCAACATTGAAAAATATTTCCATTTTAGGCGGTATATGTTCTTAACTACTACTACTGTAAGGTCATGATAACTGATGATTAAATCATTTAAACCAGAGATCAGTAGGCCATTATTAAAATGGATCCTCTGTACACGCTGCTTCTCTTTGGAACAGGGTTCCTGTCTGTGCATGGTGCAATTGAGTCCCTGAGGCAGACAGGTGACATCAAATCCCGCCTTGACACGGAGAAGCTTCAGAAGGACATCAGGCATGTCTGCAGCAAGCTGGCTCAATGACTTGTGACATAATCAACTGGAGAGGAGCTCCTTGTTACTGTCACACCTACACTGAAGCAATGGCTTGAATCAAACCAAAAAGCACGCCACTCAGTTAGAGAGTTTCTGTTTCATCGCTGGCTTCATCATATTCTATGAGCCCACAGCTATGAAGACCGTGACTATATTTAACTCAATCATTCTAAAAAAACAGAGAAATTATGTTGTGATTTGAAGTACAATACCTTTTGTGAAATATCCGGGAACTTAATTACACGCAGATCTGTCAATGACATTTCATTTTGTGCAATTTGAAAAAGGTTCGATTTGTTGTCTACAATTTCACTTTATCTCACGGATCTTTTTTTCCAGATTTGTCACTTGAGATGAGAACACTATTGTGTAAAGATTGTGACAATATGAACACCTTTTTATTTTTAACAAAATAAATTGGAATAGTATATATTAAATGTTCTCTTATTATTCATTATACATACACACACAATTACTTTGTTTTAAATAGAAGGTGGGAAAAGAATTATCCGTTACATCGTGCTTCAAGACAATAAGTTACTATTACAGTTTAAACCTGCTCACAGGTTGTACCATTAAATATCCTTTGAAAATCAATGACAAGCTCTATTTGTGAATATGGAGGTGTTAAATGTTTATTCCAGCAGGCGGGATTGTTTAGTAATTTTGAACATCTCCAAATGGGAAAAATCCTGCCGAAACCCGGGATCGAACCAGGGACCTTTAGATCTTCAGTCTAACGCTCTCCCAACTGAGCTATTTCGGCTTTTCACAAGTCTTTGTCCAGCTTAGATATGACCCCCATTCCGCCTTGTTTTATGGAGCTTTACCACGATAGTGATTACGATAGTTTTTACGCACCATAACTCATAACTTTACTGTTTTGGCAGCGTTGTTTGTGACCGCAGCAGAAAGCTCTAAAAACCCCACCTCACACTACCAAGACAGACAGCTACAGGTGAACATAGTGCAGAATCCAACATCTTAAGAGTCAGATGTTCCCCTCAGGAGTAAGTAGAAACTACAAACAAAGCGAACAGAGAGTGAGTATTGGACTTACATTCGCCAGGTGGACTGAAACACGACTCCAAACAAATGGTAATGTTGTTCCTCCACTGCTCCAAATATAAAT